AAACCAATCGACCAACTGAAAACAAACAAACAAAAATTCAAAACAAGAACAACACAAAAAGAAAACCACAGAGACCACCCCCTACACACAAAAACACAAAAACCAGAACCCAAAATATACAGGCAAAAAATTAATAAGACAATAAAAGCAAAAAAGCCCAAACAATATTATGAGACAAAAAAGTGTACAAAAATGCCATTGAGTTTGTGTTGTGTTAGCTAACTACTCCTGGGCATGTGGCTTTCTCTGAATGTGGTTAATATATCCAGTGAGACTGCAGTGGAAAAAAGCTTGTAAGTGGGTATGAATTTCAATTAGCTTTTTGGTTAGGGGTAGTAGCCCATTTCTGGCTTGAGCCCATGCAGGCCCTGTTGGCATTACTTTTTAAATGCTGGTAGATACTGGGAAATATTGGCCTTCAAATTACCTTCTACCAGGTTGGAAGGATAATAACACCCGTCTGATTGAGTTAAAGTTAGCTATGTCAGACATTTAGGGCTCTATGTGGCACATCATGCCAAAAAGTGATAGTCAAAAAAACAAAACAAAACAAAACAAAACAAAAACTTAAAATAACCATGTCACACTTGGCATGTGTGTTTTGCAAGTGCATATTAAGTGCCTCTCACTGCTTCTGGCACTTAGCGTGGGTCTGTGGACAAAGTAAGGTCCCTTCTTTCTCAGAAATTCTCTTTGCCTTTTTGCCTATAGGCCTCCGAATGCTGGCAGAAGGCACTGTCTTCCCTCCAGTGACCTCTGCATCTTTGTCAGCAGTCAGTGGCCAGGACTGGGGTGTGGCTCAGAGATAGAGTGCTTGCCTGATGTGCAGGCCACAGGTTCCTGCATAGTGGAAAAAGAAATCCCTGGCCTTGCTTGTGGAGGTGTATTTGTAGGTTTACCACATCTCGGTGTTTGTTCTTCTGTTCTGTGTGTTTGTCCCTCTGTCTGCCACATTGTCTTGATAATGTGTCTCCATAGTAAATCTCAAAATTGGGTGGCTTGACATTTCACTATGTTTTTCTTTTTCACATTTCTGCAAACATTTAGAAACCATCTCTGTGTCTTGCTGGGTTTTGGTAGGGATTGGTATAGACCTGTGTATTCAGGGTATGGAGAATGGACACACCTGCACTATGTCACATCCTCCCATCTATGAACATGGCATGCCTTCCCATTTCTTAAGGTAGTCTTTGATTTTTCTCATGTTGCTTAGTTTTCCACATAGAAGAAGCCCTGGAATATTTTGCTAGATTCATTCCCAAGTATTTAAAAAGGCAATCGAATATGATATTCAAATTTCAGTTTATATCTATTCATTATTAATAGATAAGGACAGAGTTGATCTTTGTGTGCAGATCTCATATCCTGTCATCTTGCTGGACTCACTCATTAGCTGTGCATATGCATTTTCAGGCACTTCTGTGCATTATATATGTGCAGTTTCAATTATGATTTCCAACATTTACACTCATGCTATCTGCAAAGAGAAAGGATTCTGTTTCCTCATTTCCAATCTGTACAGGTGGCTATCTGGAGTTTATTATTATTATTGCATCAAAATTCCTACATGTAAATGCCAGATGGGGTAATTTGGTGGTGAATGGGAATTGAGGCTGGCTGGAAGGGGCTGCCTCTGCTAGGCTGCATAGAAGCATGGATTTACATCTTCTCGTATTAAAGGTGATTCTGATGTGACATTTCCTGCTGCTTGAATGTGAATTATTTAAGTATTTAGACACCTTCTAGGCTGGGCACCTATACTGTGGGGTAGGCTGGCTTCCTGCCACTCTTGTCATGGAAGCCGCTTCTGTATTGAAGGCTTCAGGCAAGCAGTACCCAAGGGATGTGCTGCAAATGGAGATTTTGAGTTGGCTGCAGGTTTCCAGGCTCCTGAGAGGAAGGTCGGGGCTGCACAGATTCAGTTCCTCCTCCTTTCCTCACTCCTTCCCTCCATGCTGCACACATGTAACCATGCTGCACTGTGCCATTAACTGTGCCACCTCTCACACGTTTTCTACAGGTTTCTATGATACTCATCTCTCACTGCATGGGTGTCATACCCTGAGCCTCAGTTTATCCATTTTTACGCGCGCGTGTGTGTGTGTGTGTGTGTGTGTGTGTGTGTGTACTAATTAGTTTTGCTATGATTGCTTACAGTAACATGAATGAGGGGTTATTTACAGGAGCATAAGCCCCTTAACACTGGCAACAGCACTGGAAAAAATGCCTCCTCCCTCAGCAAGGTCCTCATGGAGGGGGTGCCTTGTGAGAACCCAGGAGGGGCAATCTTTAGGGAAGCTGGTTTGCTTAGGTGCAGCTGGGTGGTTCAGGCTGGGCTCACAGAGGCATAAGCTGCCAAGATCTCCTCTGGGTGCATGGGAGACTCAGCTTGGGCTAGCCAGACTTTCCCTGTTGGAGAGATGGTCCTATCAATGCCCCAGGCTTGGTTCACAGCGTTGGCTGGAAATGTACCTATATCTTGAAGATCCAGGGCTTGGAGGAGCTGGCACAGTCCCAGAACCTGGCATCTCTCTTCAGAAGTGGCCAGTGGCACAGGAACACTGTGCAGATGAATTGTTGCCTCCCAGGATCTTCTGCAGCCTGGGTGGCAAGTGAATGGACAGTCAGGTCTCCATTGTGGTGTCTGGATTACTATGCATCTCCCACTAACACAGCTAATTACTGGCAAGGAAGTGACATTAATGGCCTTTTCATTCTGTCCCTTTCTCCTGCCTAGGCATCTGTATATGCAATTATGGAAAGACAATTTAATGCCGACCAATTAATTGCATTTGCCAAATGGGCTTGAAACACTCTACAGGCAGTTTTCCCTGTCGGCACAATGGATTATGGTATGCAGAGAATGACTGCTAGAGACTGTTGGCACACTGTCCCTGGCTGTGGGTCAGCTGTTTGTTTTGGACAGTCAGGTTGGAGAGCTTGCTATGCAGTTGATGGTCATGTAGGGTTAGGGAGGGACCATTGTTTGCCCACCACTTGCTCCTAGCTTCATCTCAAATGGTGTTAGTGGTGTACTTCTGAGCACTTGTGGTCCAGATAAGTGGCAGGGTACACTACTTTAATCTTCATTTTTATGTAAGGGAAGAGTTAGTATCACCATTTTACCATGGGGGAACTAAGGCACAGAAGTGGCCACTCATCAGAAATGTGTGCCCCTCCATAGTTCCCTACCCTGTTGTATGTATCACTCAATGTCTCTGGAGGTAAAATGGTGATCCTAGGATTGTGCCTTGGACTTGGGGGTAAAGGTTACTGCTGCTGGTTAGTGTCTCTGATGGATGTTACAGCTCTCCTGGGTTCACATCCTGGCTCTGGTAGTAGCTGAATTAGCTTTGAAAAAACTAGGCTATCTTTCTGTGCCTTGCTTTCTTAATCTGTAATGTGGAGAGATGCAGTTACATTTCCCTCCTAGAATGTGGCCATAAAGGAGGTGTCACACACTGGCTTTGGGATGCATGACTAGTGCTTGGTAAGACGACTCAACACCGAGATTAGTGGTGCTGAGCTTGGCTCAGGAAGGCTGTACCTAGAGTAGAAGCCAAGAGTGGAGACTGGGAGAGATTGACTGAGGATTGTGGTAGGTTAGACAGTTGCTAAGAAAGCATACATGGCCTGGTCTTTCCTGGCTTGCCATGGATGTCTGGTGGATCCAGATGACAGTGAATGAAGGCACTAGAGACAGCATGCTCATCAGCTTTTGGTGCTGAGAACAAACCTCAGACTGGAAACTGCTAAGGGGCAAAGTACTGTTTTTAACTCATATCTTCAGAACATTCAACATCATGGAGGGGAGCATGTGCTGGGTCAGTGCTTCATAGTAGACAGAAAATAACCTGTAACAGAAAGCAGCAGAGACAAGATGCAGCCTCCAAAGACATGTGACCAGTATCTTACTTCCTCCAGCCAGGATCTGGCTTCCTGATGAACATCAGTGAACATGTTAGGAGCTGCTTGATGCTCAGTCTCGCTATCCTTGAGATTTGTGCCACTGTGTGGGCCCTGACTCAAGCACCTAATGTTTCTGACCCCATAGTAACTACTCTTTCCAATGTCTTCATCATGCCATCTACTTTGACTGAATAAGCCTACTTAAGGTACCCAGTAGACTTCCAGATTGTGTGTGTATGTGTGTGTGTGTGTGTGTGTGTGTGTGTGTGTGTGTGTGTCTTCACCTGGGCTTCCTGTCCTGGTCTGTGAGGACTTTGTCTTGTTCAAAACCTGCAGCATCCTCATACTGTGTAAACCTGGTTCCTGATGTCAGTTATCCTTGTAGGAGGTCCTGAGATGACCACTGAGTCACTAGACATTCTCTGTTTCAGCTCTTTTTTCTAAGCTTCAGCCTGCAGTCTCCACTACAGCTACATGGCATCTCTATACATCCATTGCCATTTCCCAAACCAAGCCTAGAAGAAATCTTAGCCAAATCAAAATTTCACCCTCCCACAACTTTGCCTGCCTCATGGATTCTTCTTTGCCTTTCAGTGGGCCAGCCATCAGACCCTACATTGTAGGTAATGAGGCCCCCATGGAGAGCCTCTACTGTCAGCACTTGGGGAGAAACTAGAGAGATGGGGTCTACTGAGGGAATGCTGAGGAGTTGGGTTACCAACCGTGGAGAATGTGATTTCTGTCTTGTAGACTGATACCATGGAGAGTGCCAGGCCTTCAGAGGAGGTAGCGTCTCAACCTGACATCCAAGCACAGGGAGCAGTACACAAGGAGAGATCCTGACCTGCCTCCAAGAGCCCTGAACACCCAGGGACCAGACAAGAGCACTGAAGCCTGTGTGACAGTACATAGTTTAATGGGGGAGGGCTCCTATGTTCCTATGTTCCTAAAATAGAAGAGTTCAGATGAATATTAAGCAGCCAGAGTTTAATGAGAGCAAGCAAGGAAGATACATACAAAACAAGATGACCTTACCAGTTTGCATTCACAGGTCTTCAGTTTCCATTTTTCCTGCCCTGTTCTTCCCTTAGGGGAACATATCCAGGAAGGAAAGTTCTCTGTGTTCAAGGGAAACATTGCAATCTGATTGAGGTTCATTCCCTTCTTACCTGCTGCAGGTACTAAATTTTAAATCTTCTTCACTGTTTTAGGGTCCCATCTCTGCTTCATTTGCCCTTGATTTTACCCTTGATGTTTAGTTACAGTGTTTTCTAAACAGGGCAGGCTTGAACAATGTTATTCTAACCTGGCTTTGTCTCCTTCAGGCCAGAGGCAATCCTTCAGACTGAATGAGGAAGAAACACAGATGGTCTGTCTGGATAAGGAAAAGAAGAAGAACATTCTAGAGAAATGGATAGCTGGCATAAAGTTTCATGCCTCCTCTTCAGAGAATAACAGAGTTCATTTGGCTGGAGTTCAGGGGCTTCTTCTTTGTGACCTGTCCTGGGAAGACACCAGCGGGGCCTAGTTAGGAAACCTCTGAAGAGCTGAGTTAGGCTTACTGCCTTGCTGCTGTTCTGGCTGCAGGATCGCCAACATGCCAAATCATGGGTCCCCTGCCCTTACTCACAGACCTCCCAGAACACAAATGCTTCAAGAGAACCAAAGAAAGAAAAAATGGCTTCAAGAGTTCTGGAATTGACCTCTGGCTGCAAAGGGTGTTGTGGCTGGGACCAAAAGACTGGCTATAAAGTTTTAAGATTCTCCAATGAAACTTTTTGTGTCTAAGAGCAACTACTTAAATTCTCCTAAGGTACACAGTATGTTCTCCGTGTGAGGTGACAGACAAAGAGGATGGATGTCAAAAGCCTAGTTCCTTGTGACTGCATCTTCTCTCACTGGAAGAACAATTGAGGCGAGTGTATGAGCTAGCTGACTGGCATTGTGGGTCCATCATTCACTTCTCTTCTCTTGAGTAGGAGGCCAAAGGAGAAAGGAACATGTCCTGAGCAGTATGGATGTAGCTATGCTACAGAAAAGCCCCTCAGACTTTTGATGCACACCTCCGTGCATCTCGAAGTCTCAGTCAGTGCTACACTGCCTGATTCACTTGGTTTGTCCCTGACATAGTAACAGCAAACACATACCTTCCCCAGTTGTTGGCTTCATTATATACTGGAGGCCAGACTTAGCTTTAACCCTCATCTCACTTTATAAGCAAGATGCTTGGTTTTCTGGCCCTGTTTCTCATGGGGGACTTGTAGGACTCACCTGCTTGTCGTGGTTGTAGAATGTGATGCAAAATGCAGTGGCTACCTGTGATAGCACAACCTACATGCTACTTGGATGCTTCCTTCAATATGACCTGGTACTCAACAACACTCTGGGTTTAGAGGGTCAGAGTGGATACCCAGTGCCTAGGACAATGGACACCAGGACCCTTCCCAAGGTACTACCTCTGTAGTCTCTCAGTTGTCCTTTGATCTTCAGCAAGGAAATACCAATGACACTTGGCAGTTTTGGAGGCTGAGTATAGCTGCCCCGTGTTTCTCTGCTCTAAACTCAGACCATCATCAGGTCAAGACCATGAATCAGAAACTTGTCTTCTACCCCGGGGCCAGTACTCTGTGGCCTCAATGCACCCCCAGTAGGGCAGCCACAGAGATTAGCCCCCTGGTGTCAGCACAAGGTATCATCCTGCTTTTTCCAGGAGGTGCTCTTTGACTGCATGCTGCAAATTCCTCACCCAGTAGGGCCTTCCAAAAAAACCTACTGTCCATCAGCCCCATGACCTTCAGAGCTCACTCTGTCTATAACCTTCCAGGTGGGCCAAATGGAAGCAAGTACTGGGAATTCCTCTGTGGAAGCTCGGGATGGGAGGAGATGCTACCAAATGGTGTTGGAGTAAGGAGGCTGTGGAGACAAACACAGATGATGGCAGAGCTGCTCCAGTGTTGGTTAGGCAGTAGGAGGAGGCTGAGGTGGTGCTGCACCACAGGAGGATGAGGAGTCCCTTCATCCTGCCTGGAACACCTTGATGCTCCACATTTCCCCAGGAATGATTTCCAAGGCAGCATCCCATATTTGCCCTTGGGTACAAGCTGGGTCTCCACTGGGACTAGGTTCTCTCCTCTTCGCGGCTGGCCATGCCCTGCATCCTCTGCAGAGGAAGTATGGCCCTGCTCTTGCTAGTTCAAGGCCCCTGCCCTGTCAGTGCATTCACTCCTTTTCCTCATCTTGGTGACTAGGACTTCCTCTCGGACTGTCTTGCTTTGCTTCACCTCTTTCTCTCTTCTATATCATTTCACTCTCCCTCTCCATCCCCTTTTCTCTTTGACACTCTTCCTCCTGGGCATACAGTTTGTGTAGTTCTGCCCAGCTCATGAGGGGAACAATGTGGAAGAGGGGACTAGCTGGTAAAGACTCTGAGCTCAGTTCTGTGTGAGTGTTCAGTCATCCATGTAGAACCTGGAGGGTTGGTACTTTGTAAGGTGGAAGCCATGTGGACCATATCTCTCTCTAGAAAGTGATGCCTGGGTCACAGTGAACTGAAGGAGGGTGGAGCTGTTAGCTCAATCCTTGCTGTTAGAAGAGGGGGCATAGCGGCCTGTGCCATGTTTCTTGTTGGTGTCTGATGGTCCACAGGTGTTTGAGTGCACAGTCCCTAGAAGTTCTAGCCTGTGTCCCTCCTGTGGCTCTAAATCTGTACCAGGTAAAACTCCGCCCCAGTGTTTAGCAAACGGATACTTGGGTCTGTTCTTCATTCCTTGAATGAAGATGAAAAAGATGCTGTTAGTGATTTTTGACATAGGATTTACTCAGCACTGAGCTAGCCCTATTGTACCATGGCTCTCCTTCTGGTTCACCCTTCTGAATCCATCTACCTCATACCAAACCCTTCTTCCACCTCCAGAGACTCTGGCTGTACCTGCTGTCTATTTCTGGCTCAATTTTCCCAGATAAGGCAGATGCTGTGGGACATGTTAAGGTTCATGTCTATAAATGGATTCAGTCTATCAATGGCAGAATGCATTGTAATGGAAATACAGTGCAGAAGTGGATATTGGTGGCCATGACTACCAGATTTCCTCTGGACCTCAATACTATTTTTTTGTAGCTCCTTTCTGTGGGGGTGTGTGCTGCTTTTCTTTTGGGTAAGGAGGCAACAACATAACCTTCGAAACATGTGAAGGATCCACTTTCAAACCCACTTCTACCCCTTTCTTCTGTTGTTTTTGGAGTCTGTGGGTGCAACCTAGGGCTGGTTACTGCTGATGATCCAGGTTATATCAGGCAAGCCATACCCAGTGGAGCCCCTGTCCCTTCTCAACACTCCTTGCAGTTGGTTCTTTCTAGATGAGATAGTGGTAGGAAGAACAGGTTCAGCCCCTCTCCTCCTCACAGGGGAAGGGAGGTTAGAAGGATCTGCAGGGCTTGTGTTTGGATGGGTCTTCACAAGTGTTCATGTTTGCTGATGTACCCATCATTGAATTGATGATAGAATATACTGTAAGTAGCCATGATACCATTATGCCTTTTCTTTCCTACAGTTTCCATGATTTCTTGAACCTTGTAGCCAAAGCAATAATATAGCTTACACAGTCTGGTGCCTGGGATCATGCACACTATCATTATTGAGGGCAAGAATGAGATTTCATCACAGAGAAACAGTCATGGTTATCTCATGGATATCTCATGTTTGTTCATTACCTTGTGCCCTGGATCTAAAACTCACAGGTATTAAATGAAGTCTTACAAATGAAGGTTTTTGATAGGTTTCATAGACTCAGGTATATTTGTGGCTGCAATAAGCTGGTGCAGATCTAAAGAGATTGAAGCCTTGTATGCTGTGGACCCAATGACCATAGTGTAAATCAGAATGCCAAAGCTCCACATGACTCTGGAAAGTCCATGATAGCCTCAGTCCTCCAACATCTCTGGTGCTAAATAAGAAAGTGTGCCAATGGCAACATCTGGCCAGTGGTGACAATTATGGCCATCAGGACATATAGAGTTTTGTGTTTCTGTCTATATCAAAGAGCACATTCTCTTTTTTTATCTCACAATGGGCAATGTTTTTGTCATAGTGGGCAATGTTTCTTTTATGGAGGTACTGAACTGCAGATGCCACCTGATGGAAAATGGGCCACACCTTCTCCTTACTTATATACCCACATGCATCTATGAGGTTGGCCATATCTCCCCCTGCCATAAATTCCATGATCAAATCTCTTTTTTGTCATATAACTGGAAGAATCCCACAATGAACTGGTTTAGGACAGCTTCCATGATATCTCAGTGGTGATATCAGAGGCCTTAATGAAGGCCTTGTCAAAGATCTTCATAGCTACTCTGGTATTGGTGGGTACATGGCATGGGCTTAACCTTTTGGAGTAAGAGGTAGGCCAGGGTTTTAAGATGTAGTTAACTCTAAGGATGTCTTCATTAGAGGGGTTGTCCCCAAGCTCTTCCTCTGTTTGCTACCTTCACTGATGGAAAATGGTACCACTTTGCAATGCTTAAATAATGAGAAAGCCACAAATTCCTACATGTTTAAAAAAAAACCTAATACTGCTCTTCAAGGATGTACATAAATAGAGCAATTGAAACCCAGAGCAGCAGATGAAAAAGCATGAATATCAGAGCTGGGACTGAGTGGATACTAAAGTGATGACAGAAGGACCAAAGAAACCTTTTTTACATTTTTTAAAATAAAAGGATCAAGAAAATTGACAAACCCTTACCTTAACTAACAGACACAATAAACGATACAAGAAGTTGATTATCTCAACAGATAACCCAGGGGACATTTTTGGCAAACTCATACTCCAGAGAGATGATAATGCTGGAAGGAATGGGAAAGTTTCTAGACTCATGTAGCCAACACTAAGATTGAACTAAAATATTAAAAAAAAAACAGACATCAATATATGGAACGTGATTGAAGTAAATACTGGAATTGTCCAAGGTCAGTGTGACTTAAGAACCATCAGAGAAGAGCAAGACCCTGTGATCTTGAACTACTTCATTAAATAGAAATAAATGAAAGGAACACCTCTAAAGGCAGCATTACCCGTGTTCCCAAACAATAGACACAAAAAACAAGAAAGGGTATGCTGATTTCCTTGACTAACATATACGTGAAAACCATAAGTTAAACAACATGTTAAGAAGTGGATGTTTCATGGTCAAGGTGGGTTCAGCAAGGAATGCTTGGAATTCTACACAGACAAGTATCCAAGCAGATTCAAGGGAAGAGTGCTATGCTCAGCCACCAAAACAGAAGTTGCCATTTGCTGATGGACAATTCGCTTATATTATTTGTAACATGGCATGGATGGGTGAACGGGGCCTTAATGTAAAACATATTTTAGACGAATGTAAGGGTCTGATAAGAATTCACAGAACAAGGGGATATGATCCAATTTTATATGTATGCATGAAAGTGTCATAATAAAGTTCCTCATTTTGCACAGGTAACACGTTTCACAATAAACAAGATGAAACTGAAAAAGAAATCACATGGAAGGAAAATGAACACACAAAGCCCAAAGCAAAAGTAGTAAGGGGATGAACAAATATGAA